AAGTTCTGCCCACTGGGAAGATTTCCCTTCACCGCTGTCCTTCAGGGATGTCCTGAAAAGGGGCTGTAGTGCTGCAGCTGTCCACTTTCGGGTGGTGCCTGCATCTCGTGCAGAACCGTCTGTGAACCAGGCCCTAGTCTTCTCTTCCTCTGTCACCTGATCATAGGGAACTCCCCATGAGGCCATCAGTGCAGGCTGGGGAAGAGAAGGCAGGGTGGCAGGAGTGGAGACCATGGGCATTTGAGCCACTTCCTCGTGGAACATACTTATGCCTCCAGGACATACTTGAGCCCAATCACATATATACCACTTCCATTTGATGATGGAATGCTGCTGAGCATGACCCACTTTATTGCTAGATGAGTCAGAAAGCACCCAGTTCACGACAGGCAGTTCAGGTCACATGGTGACTTGATGACCCATAGTCAAATGTTCAGTTTCCACCAAAGCCCAGTAACAGGCCAAGAGCTGTCTCTCAAAGGGACAATAGTTATCTGCAGAAGATGGCAGAGCCTTGCTCCAAAATCCTAGAGGCCTCTACTGTGATTCACCTATGGGGGCCTGCCAAAGGCTCCAGACAGCATCCCTATCTATCACTGACATCTCAAGCACCATTGGATCTGCTGGGTCATATGGCCCAAGTGGCAGAGCAGCTTGCACAGCAGCCTGGATCTGTTGCAGAGCCGTCTCCTGTTCTGGACCCCACTCAAAACTGGCAGCCAGCCTTTCAGGTCACTCAATAAATGAGTGGAAGTAACACACCCAAATGAGGAATGTGTTGCCTCCAAAATCCAAATAGGACCACTGGGCATTATGCCTCTTTCTTGTTTGTAGGAGGGGCCTAATGCAGCAACTTATCCTTCACCTTAGAAGGAATATCTCCATAGACCCCACACCACTGGACCCCTAGAAATTTTACTGAAGTAGAAGGTCCCTGAATTTTAGTCAAATTTATTTCTTATCTTCCGGCATGTAAATGTCTCACCAATAAGTCCAGTGTGTTTGCTACTTCTTGCTCAATGGATCTAGTCAGCATAATGTCATCAGTGTAATGAACCAGTGCGATATCTTGTGGAAGTGAAAAGTGATCAAGGTCGCTCCGAATAAGATTATGACACAAAGCCTGGGAGTTGATATACTCCTGAGGTAGGACAGTAAAGGTACATTGCTGGCCTTGTCAACTGAAGGCAAATTGCTTCTGGTGGGCCTTATGGACAGGAATGGAGAAAAAGGCATTTTTTGAGTCAATGGCTGCATACCAGATACCAGGAGATGTGTTAATTTGCTCAAGCAATGAGCATCTAGTACAGGCAGCTGCAACTGGAGTTACCACTTAGTTAAGCTTACGATAATCTACCGTCATTCTCCAAGATCCATCTGTCTTCTGCACAGGCCAAATGGTAGAGTTGAACGCGGATGTGGTGGGAATGACCACCCCTGCATCTTTCAAGTCCTTGATAGTGGCACTAATCTCTGCGATCCCTCTAGAGATATGTTATTGTTTTTGATATACTATTTTTCCAGGTAGAGGCAGCCCTGATGGCTTCCATTTGGCCTTTTCCATCATAATAGCCCTCACCCTACCAGTCAGGGAGCCAATGTGGGGTTTCTGCCAGCTGCTAAGTATGTCTATGCCAATTATGCATTCCAGCACTGGGGAAATGACCACAGGATGAGTCCAGGGACCCACTGGACCCTCTGTAAGTCAGACCTGAGCTGAAATTCCATGAATTACCTGACCTCCATAAGCCCCTACTTTAACTGGAAGACCACAATTATGTTTTGGATCCCCTGGAATCAATGTCAGCTCAGAGCCAGTGTCCAGTAGTCCTTGAAATGTCTGATTATATCCCTTTCCCTATTGCACAGTTACTCTGGTAAATGGTCAGAGGTCTCCTTGGGGAAAGATGGGAGAAAGATTCACTGCATAAATTGTCAGTAATGTAGTGGGGTCCTCCCTCAAGGGGGCTCGGTCTCCCCTTCATTCAAAGGGTTCAGGGTCTGTAAACTGGCTCAAATCTGGAAATTGATTGAGGGGCCATGATTCTCTGTTTTATAATTCAAATGAGTCTTTTATCTATTCAGCCTAGAAGTTTTCTCCATATATAAATTAAGTAGGAATGCAGTAGGCTTCCTGTCAATTTCACTTCTAGGAACACCATGATTAATTAGCCAATGCCAGAGCTCTACACAAGTCAGACTATTCTGATTGCTGCTTTGTCTCTGCTGTCCATTATGACAGTTATACCCACCCCACCTTTTTTTTTTTTCTTTTGAGATGGAGTCTGGCTCTGTTGCCCAGGCTGGAATGCAGTGGCATGATTTCAGCTCACTGCAAGCTCCGCCTCCCAGGTTCACGCCATTCTCCGGCCTCAGCCTACCAAGTAGCTGGGACTACAGGTGCCTGCCACCATGCCCAGCTAATGTTTTGTATTTTTAGTAGAGACAGGGTTTCACCATGTTAGCCAGGCTGGTCACAATCTCCTGACCTTGTGATCCACCCACCTCGGACTCCCAAAGTGCTGGGATTACAGGTGTGAGCCACCACGCCTGGCCCCACCTTGCCTTTGACGGTTAGTTAAGTGCCACAACTTGGCCCCTGCCACGTTGGGATCCAGTTATTCCCAATGTATTTAAGTTTTGTAGTTGAGTGACTATGGTTCCCACTGTTAGATCTGACATACAGAGTAGAGCAATTATGGGGCTCTTCAAAGATGCAGGTGCTACCCTCACAAATCTATTTCACAAGGCATTGGTCAAGGGTATATCTTCTGTACCCTCCCAGCTGGGATGACTAGGTCTAAAGTGACTAATCCACTCCACCATGCCAATCTCCCTAAGCCTTTGGATCCCTTCCATTAAACCAAGGGAGATCAGGCATTTCCATCTCACTCACAGTGGGCCATCTTTTAATCCATATTTCAGCTAACCAAGCAAATAAACTACTAGAACCTTTTTTAACTTCCTGAGCTGCAACATTAAATGCAGAGTCCCTACTTAGTGGTCCCAAGTCAATAAATTCAGCCTGATCCAACTCTATGTTCCTTCCACTATTATCCCATACCCTTAATATCCATTCCCATGCCTGTTCTCCAGATTTCTGTTTATATAAATTAGAGACATCAACTGGGCGCAGTGGCTCACGCCTGTAATCCCAGCACTTTGGGAGGCCGAGGCAGGCGGATCACAAGGTCAGGAGATCGAGACCATCCTGGCTAACATGGTGAAACCCTGTCTCTACTAAAAATACAAAAAAAAAAAAAAAAATTAACTGGGCTTGGTGGCAGGCACCTGTAGTCCCAGCTACTCAGGAGGCTGAGACAGGAGAATGGCGTGAACCCAGAAGGCGGAGCTTGCTGCACTCCAGCCTGGAAAAAAAAAAAAAAAAAATTAGAGACATCAAGCAGCTCTTTTTGAGTGTAGCACACTTCTTCATGGGTCATACTCTCAATCTCACCTCTAGAGGCCCACTGAGACTTTAGTCAAGTTATAGGTCTAGAAGCAAACAAGGGTGTTAGGGGTGGCTCCTGAGGAGAATCAACATTATCTTGCCTGGCAACTGCCTCAGGGGAGGCCATCACTCTTGCCTCAGGAAGCACAGGGTTTATCTCCTCAGACAAAGGTGGAAAGACTGATGACAGCATGGGTCGGGGAGGGGATGTTGCTGCTACTGGTATGGGGAAGCTGTTCCTTCCGGCAAAAAAGTTCATCAGAGTTTACAAACTCAGTATCCCCAGCTTCATCAGGGTTCTCCCACATGTCTCCTTCCCAAGTTGCAGGGTCCCATTCTTTTCCAATTAATGCCCTCATTTTAACAGGAGACAATTGGCAAGGCTGTGCATGCACCTTTCACTGCACCTTTCAGCCACTCACATGATAAGAGCTTGTGTCTGTTTTTCCACAATTTCAGCTATTTCTCTACAGGAGATAAGACTCACTTAGGGCAATCTTTGCAGATTTGAGGCTCAGTATCTGCTTCTGTAGCCAGGAGACAGAATCTCTGAGTTCATCATTTTCTTTCATCACTTTGTCTACTGAACTTAGGAGCAACTAACCAGCTTCATTATGTTCCCTTGTTCACCACATATGGTCAAAGGTATTATGTATAGAGTCATTAAACTCCCTGCCTCTCATGAGCAGTGAATCAGGAGTGTCAAATGCATTTATTTTGTGTAACTCGTTAAACAGTTCATGCCAAGGACTATCACTGTTCTCCATACTATTAGAAGTAGAGTCCTTAGCATTTGGGGGTCTAATCATACTAACCAGCCAACTCCAGAAACTCAAAAACCAACAAAAGAACTCCATTCTTAATATTCTGTTTCTCTAGAACCACTCCTGGTACCAAAATCTATATAGTCAAGGTTCCCTAGAGGGACAGAACTAATAGGATACATCTGTATAAATAAAGGGGACTTTGTTAAGTATTAACTTACATGATCACAAGGTCCCACAATAGGCTGTCTGCAAGCTTGAGGAGCAAGGAGAGCCAGTCCACATCTCAAAACTGAAAAACTTGGAGTCCAATGTTTGAGGGCAGGAAGCATCTAGCATGGGAGAAAAATGAAGGCTGGGAGGCTGGGCAGTTCTCACGTTTTCACATTTTTCTTCCTGCTTTATATTTGCTGACAGGTGATTAGATTGTGCCCACCAGATTAAGGGTGGGTCTGTCTTCCCCAGCCCACTGACTCAAATGTTAATCTCCTTTGGCAGCACCCTCACAGACACACCCAGGATCAATACTTTGCATCCTTCAATCCAATCAAGTTGGCACTCAGTATTAACCATCACAATTAGAAAAGGATAAGTATTATTTCATGTAATTTTGTTTCATTAATATGTACACAAATGTGCACACTGGACTATAATGTAAAATACATCTTTTATTGTGGGTCATAGTCACTGAAGTTTGAAAAACATTGACTTAGAACATCTCATGACCTAGTCAGGTTGTTGGTTATATTCTAAATCCAGCATGTTTAATTTAATTTTGATTTCAGAACATAAAGATCTAGTCCCTCATGAAGAAAAAAATCCAGTTATGTCAGACGGTAAGTCAGTGGGGTTATAAACAGTGTCTATATTGCTAATAATCACGACTCATATTGTCCAGTTGTTAGGGAATAATGTTATGGCCTAGCAACCAAAGCAAGTCTTAAATAACTTCATATGCTTCACAGACACTTTGAAATGGGCACAAAAATGTCAACTTTTTTTTTTTAATCACTCAAACTGCTTCCTTGTCATATTCACCTCAAACTCTCCCAAAATACTCTAACTTCAGCGCCAGTCCCTTGTGTCTGTTGCTTCTCACCTTTCCCTTTTCTTCTCAATTCTTTATTATCAAGCCCAAATAACCAATATGGCAAGACAGCATCTTTCTCAGAAGATAGGTGAGAGGAAGAGACTGAGAAGGCCAAGTTAGAATTCTCCTTAACAGCGAAAATCTGGGAATTTTTGTCTCATTATGTGTATATATATATCTCATCATATATATAATTTATAATGTATTACATAAATACACACACACACATATGCTGTTGACCCATGAACAGCATGAGTTTGAACTGTGCAGGTCCACTTATTACGCAGATTTTCTTCCACCTCTGCCATCCCTAAGACAGCAAGACCAACGCCTCCTCTTTCCTCCTACTCCTCCCCAGCCTTGTCAACATAAAGAAAATGAGGATGAAGAACCTTATCATGATCTATTTCCACTTAATGAATAGTAAATATATTTTCTCTTCCTTATGATTTTCTTAATAACATTTTCTTTTCTCTAGCTTTTATTGTTAGAATGCAGTATATGATACATATAACATACAAAATATATGTTAATCAACTGTTTTGTTATTGGCAAGACTTCTGGTCAACAGTGGGCTATTAGTTAAGTTTTGGGGGGAGTCAAAAGTTGTATGTAGATAATTGATGACACAGAGGAATGGTGTCCCTAATCTCCACATTGTTCAAGGGTCAAGTGTATACATATAATGTGAGTGCTTGCACATATTTATGTAGAGGACTGTATTTTTTCTAAAGCTTCCTGTACAAACTGTATATCCAAAAAATAATAATTTAGTCTGTTTCCATTTTTACAACTTCACCTGAAACTGTCTATTTAGAAGGAAGCTAGCAATCATTGAGAAGTTGCCTAGTGGTTTATGGGGGCCAGGGAAGGAGGCTTCATAGGGATGTTGGTAGAAAGATGCTATACTGAGCAGTTGACTGAACATCTGCTTGTTCATATTGTCCACTCAGAACATGGATAAGTCATCATCATGGTTGAGACTTTATATAACAGTGGTCTAGCATCTTGTAACTCCTAGGAGAGCAATGCATTCAGAGAAACTTCAGAGTGGAAGGAACAAGATAGAAGAAAATGAAAATAACTGCAAAAATTATTGTGCTTTACATAGTAAAAACTATTCCTTTAACTCTATTTGCTGCAGCAGATTTTCTAAATCAGATTCCTCAAACCACCTTTGAAAAGCCACAGAGTCTTGAGTTCCTAAATGGTAGGTGGTAGACAAAACATTAACTAATATTTTCTTGTTCTACAAGTGGAACTGGGTAGTAGAGGATCAAGTTTCCTTGCAATACTATTCTTGTCAAACCCTCCCCACTTCCCACATTCCCCAAGGACCCAGCCTTGGTTGCTTACTCTCCTGGATCCTAGCTTCCTACTGTTTTTTTTTTTTTTTTTTTTTTTTTTTTTTAAAGACAGGGTCTGCTCTGTTGCCCAGGCTGAAGTGCAGTGGTACAGTCACAGCTCACTGCAACCTCAGCCTCCTAGACTTGTGATCCTCTCAACTCAGCCCCTCAGGTAATTGGGACCACAGGCATGCACCACCACACCCAACTAATTTTTTTTTGTAGATCTAGGGTATCACAGTGTTGCCCAGGCTGGTCTTAAACTCCTGGACCCAAGTGACCATCCACTTTGGCCTTCTAAAGTGCTAGAATTACAGGCATGAGCCACCTGCCTGGCCTGCTTCCCACTTTTGCAACCAAACCTTTGAGAACCTAATCCTTCCCTCAAGATGAATAAGTAAGGAAATTGACACAAGGAATCTGCATGTCCAGAGTTCCCAAGTATATAACTGAGTTGAAAACAAAGCTGATGTAGGTTTCTTTGTGGTTGACCAGTCAGGATATTCACCTAAGCCCCCACCCTTTTATTTAAATGTCCAATAAAATGAACAAAATCTCATGCACCTTTCATTCTGAAATGTATGGTATGATGGACTTAAGAATGGGGCTAATCGGGAGAATTAGAATTGGTGCATAGAGGAGCAGCAAAGCCAAGAGCAGAAATGGAGCTGACAACATAGCTGCATACACGATTTGGAATGAAAAGCAAGGTGCCAGGAGAGAGCACATAAAATAGCTTGTGGCCAGGGAAGAGGCCACAGTTAGTTTTGCTATATGAAAATACCTAGCTATGATCTCGTGGCTTTATTTCCCCATAGAATCACTCTCACGCATGCACTTTCTCAGCTATTGAATCATGAATACAGGAATCCAGCAAACAAAAAAGCTAATAAAAACATATGCTACTAACATGTTTTGGAAATAGTTATATATTTTCATTTCTTTTCCTTTTACAGGCTTTGAAGGCAAAACTGTGGAATCCTAACAGATCAAATTGGATGAAATACATAATTACTTGGTAGCATAATAAATATAGAAAGAATTTACATAAATGTCTATATTGAAGGAAGAATAATTTGAAAGATTTATGTCAGTCTTAGATAATACCATGCAAGGCAATTAAATCACTGTGACAACATAAAGGTCAGAGTTCAGTTATTTTGTGTTACTTGTATCCACTCATGTTTGTTTAATAATAATTGCATTTTCTCAGAAATATTTTGGTGTCAAATGCTATCTTTTATACTACATTAAAATAGAGTTGTCAGTCATTGCATCTGCCCATACATCTTCTGAGAGAACCTGCTTCCTTCCACCAGCCATACCTAAGACCTGCACCTAAGTGACCATGTTTGCTCAAATGTCCTCACCACCTTGGTCTCAACTAATTAAGCCAAACAGATGTACCTCACTCAAGGATAACCAATCATATTTTCTCTCTCTCTCAAAAAAAAAAAATTGAACTGAGACCAATGAGTAAGTTGGTGACTGGGTCAGGTTGATGGTAGTGAACTATGTGCCTGTGAGCTCTTCAGAGCTAGATTGGGTTCACCACCTTCATAAGACCTACCTCTGTACCATTTTTCCCTGGATGTGCTTTGTTTAAGTGTCTGTATAATAAATCACACTTTTTTAAAGCTCAGATTGAATAGGTTTCTGCTCCTTGACAACAGATATGGCCTGAATAAAATGAATTTTGAAAGAAAAGCATAATATTTTTACTATATAATTGCATGGTTTAAGTAAAAATTACAGTCTTTTATTAAAGCAGTAATAGCCAAACCAGTATGCTCAGATATTTTCCAGCTAATAAGACCCTTTACAAATGCCAATTAGGAACTTTTGAAAGCCCAGGAGTCATGTGAAAAGCTGCTGATATCTGTGCTTTCTCTGTATGCTTAATAACTCTTAAGATATGAATCATATTCTGAAAATTCAGGGAAATTGCAGATGCATCTTCTGCATTGCTTCTGCACCATTATAATGCAATGGGTAGTTTCAAACCCATTACTGACTTTTGCTTGTTTCCAAAGTCAGCACTTCATGTGATGTTATTGTGAAGAAAGCTTGATATCTGTGTTAAGGACATTGATTTTGTGCCCTAATCCTACCAATACCATTGCCTGACTTTGTGGGGTCCTCAACCCAAGGAATGTGACCACAGAGAACAATACCTGGATGGAAAATCAAATGGCGCTTCTCACAGAGCTAAGCACATGGCGATTTTGCCCCTCAACATGCAGGGCTTCTTATGAGAAAACTAAGCAAGATTGGAAACCGTGATTCAGACCAAGAAGCCTAAGCTAAACTTCCTGCTCCATATCCCTTGAATCAGTCATGTGACTCACTTGTTACCCATAACCAGATAGAAAGGCTGGAACAAAGAACACAACCACGAACACATCATCTTTCAATGTAGTGGCCTGCCTCTTAGTGATTTTCTTCCCATGAGTGCCAAGTTGTGAACAATGAGATAATGAGCTTCTTCTCCAATTGGTGGACATCTAGGAGAGGGCTAGAGGAGATCTAGACAGAGTTTTGTCCCTTTTTGGGACATACTCATCCCCATCCCCAGAAGTCTGTACTTCCAGCATGAATATGAACTGCCATATGTTTGGACCACCATAGGATGACAAGAATGCTCTAGAATAGACTCCTATAGGAGAGTAGAATGGATTGATTTTAATCACCATATCTACTACCACACATTTGTCCCAAATTAATATATGGAATTACACTGGGAGGAAAGTGTTAAGTGTTTGCTATTTATTTAGAAATAATAATGATGCCACTTCAAAAATATTTTTCAGGGTGATCTGGTTTGACTCTGTGTCTCTACCCAAATTTCATCTTGTAGCTCCCATAATTCCCATGTGTTGTGGGAGGGATCCGGTGGGAGATAATGGAATCATGGGGGCGGGTCTTTCATGCTGTTCTCATGATAGTGAATAAGTCTCACAAGATCTGATGGCTTTAAAAATGAGTTTGCCTGCCCAACCTCTCTCTTTGCCTGCCGCCATCCACATAAGATGTGACTTGTTCCTCCTTGCTATCCACTATGATTGAGAGGCCTCCCCACCCTGTGGAACTGTGAGTTCAATTAAACCTCTTTCTTTTGTAAATTGCCCAACCTCGGGTATGTCTTTGTCAGGAACATGAAAATGGACTAATACATGGGGCACAGGGAGTTTTTTTTGTTTTTTTTGTGTGTTTTTTATGTTGTTGTTTTTTTTTGACTGATGCACTAGTTCTTATGGTAGCCTGTTATATATAATAGGCCAACTTGGGAAATCTCAAGTCTGATTTTCCCGTTAAAAGTAACTTTAATGTGAGGTTATTGTAAGTAGTTTCTCTATGTTGTTAAAGCTATCATGGTAAAGCCATGAGGGAGGAATATTCTGTAGAAAAATTAGAGTATTGTTTGGAGAAAGGCATTATGTGTATAAAGTAATTAATTGGTCACTGAAATATGAGTTAAGCATCTATAAATCTTTGTAGCTATAGCAAGCACTATTAGTTGCCCTCCTTACAGCCCGGCTTCATTCTCGTGACCAACAGAAGTCTGATTTTGTTGGGATGGCTGATGGGCCCAATAAATGGTGAGATCTAATTTAGTCCCATTTGCCAGTGATTGGTCTAGGGGTAGGCATACGGCCCAATTTTGGACACTGATAGATAAGTGTTCTGGAGGTCTGCATGAGAGAGAGAGAATAAATGGTATGCAAGGAGAAAGCACTTTGGCTCCCACCTACTTCCTTCCTGCTTAAATGCTGTCCTACTGAGATATAATGCTCACAGCTTCAGCAACCATTTTGTAGCCATGAGAAGAGACATCACCAGCATAGGAGGGTAGCAGTAAAGAAAGACAGAAAAAGCCTGGCGCCTAATCCTGAGGCCTTGATGACTTCAAAGAGCCTCTGAACCAACCCTGGATCAACTCCAGAACTTCTGTCTAACAAACAATAAATAACACTAGGTTTTAAGTCCATGTTAATGATGGGTTCTATTACTTATAGACAATGGCTGCATACTTATATATGTGGCTATATATGCTTATAGCTAACAGCTATTTAACTTAATAGAGAAATACCTTTCAACTATTCGTTTTAAGTGAATTAATAAGGAATATATTTAGATCATTTGTTTTTTAGAGACAAATTCTCGCTCTGCACCCAGCCTGGAGTGAAGCGTCACAACTGTGGCTCAGTGCAACCTAGAATTCCTGGGCTCAAGCCACCTTCCCACCTCAGCCTCTCAAGTATCTGGGACTACAGGAACATGCCACTACACCTAGCTAATTTATTTTTGTAGATGGGATCTAGCTATGTTACCCAGGCTGGTCTTGAACTCCTGGACTCAAGTGATCCTCCCGCTTCAGCCTCCTGAGTAGCTGGGACTGCAAGCATGAACAACCACACTCAGCCCCTAGACAAACTGACTTTTCTGACTCAGCCAGGCTTAAAATCTATACTGACTGTTATATTTGTTCTATCTTCCCCAATTCCAGTCAGTAAATGCCATCAACTTACTTCAATTCTAGACCATGATTTTTGACATTAGCATGAATCAGAATCACTTGTTAAAACAGATTGCTGGGGCCGGGCATGGTGGCTCACACCTGTAATCCCAGCTACTTGGGAGGCCAAGGTGGGCAGATCACTTGAAGTCAGGAGTTCGACACCAGCCTGGCCAACATGGTGAAATCTCATCTCCACTAAAAATACAAAAATTAGCCAGGCATGGTGGCACCTGCCTGTGGTCCCAGCTACTCCAGAGGCTGAGGCCAGAGAATCACTTGAACCCAGGAAGGGGAAGCAGAGGCTGCAGTGAGCCAAGATCGTGCCACTGCACTCTAGCTGGGGTGACAGAGCAAGACGCTCTCAAAAAAACAAAACAAAACAAAACAAAACCAACAAACAAAAAAGATTGCTGGGGACCATCTCCAGAGTTTGTGACTCAGTAAGTCTTAGTTCTAACAAGTTCTCAGGTGAGGCTGATGCTACTGATCTAGGGACCATACTTTGACAACCACTGCCCTACACTATGTCTTCAAACTTCATCTCACTGAAGCCTCGATAGATCTTACACAGTGAGGTGGCCTTTCCTCTCTTGGCCAAACCATTACTTATTTCTTTTTATTTCAGGGAGATGAACATTATGAGACTCCAAGAGACAGAAATAGGATAAAGAGCTATTCCTCCATCTACACCCTACCAGATGCAACTGGGAAATAATGTGTAACTTCCATTTGCTCCTTTGCTGGCCTTAAAACTAACATCTTTAACTCTAAAACAGTCCTGGCCCAGAGCTGAAAGCTTACTCAGTCTGCAGAGGACACAGAAAGGTTACCCAAGCTTGCAGCTGAGTTTCTGGAAGCAAACTGGTGACTCTCCCAACAGTGAGCAGCTGTTCTGCCCCTCATATTAATTTCTTCTGGGCAGAAAAAGGGAGCCCACAGAGACATCTAATCACAAGTCTCTCAGTTTATTGGTACAAAGAAGCATGATTTCTATACAGAGAGGCCATAGCAAAGGTTTTGCAGAGTCCTGGCAGCCTCCTCCTTTGTAGGTGGGCTACCCATCTCTGGGAAAGCAGCCACAAACCCTAGTGTGTCTTGCTCAAGAGCAACACACATAAGTCATACTTTAGCAATGCCACCAAAATTACGTTTTCATCTACAGTCCCCAAAATTACCACCATGTTTGCAAAATCCCATGATGAGCCCTCAGTCCTCATGCTGACTTGACCTATCAGTAGCATTTGACATACGTCTTAGGCCCTTCGTGCTACTATAACAAAGTACCGTTGAGTAGTAGCTTAGAAACAACAGAGATTTATTTATCACTATTCTAGAAACTGGGAAGTCCAAGATCAAAGTGGCAGCAGATTCAGTGTTAGGTAAGAACACATTTCTTGGTTCGTAGATGGTGCCTTTTCACTGTATCTCCACATGGTGGAAGGGGCTAGGCAGCTCTCAGATGCTTTTTTTAGAAGGACACTAATCCTATTCATGAGGTTACTACCCTAATGACCTAATCACCTCCCAAAGGCCCCACCTCCTAAAGCCTGCTGTGGTTTGGACGTTCATCCCAACTTAACCTTATGTTAAAATTTCGTACTAATGTTGGATGTGGAGCCTAGTAAGTATCTGGGTCATGAGGGTGGATCTCTCATGAATAGATTAATGCCTTCCCTTGGGGTGAGTGAGTTCTCTTGCTCTTAGTTCCTGCGAGAGCTGATTGTTGAAAACTGCCTGGCACCTCCCCACTTCTCTTGCTTCCTCTCTCACCATGTGATCTCTGTATATGCCAGCCCCCTTTTGCCTTCCACCATGAGTAGAAGCTGCCTGGGGCCCTCGCCAGATGTCCAATCTTGAACCTTCCAGCCAGCAGAATTATGAGCCAAATAAACCTCTTTTCTTTATAAACTATCTCAGGTATTCCTTTATAGCAACACAAAGCTAACTAAGACAGCATCACATTGGGGATTAGTTTTCAAAATATTAATTTGGGTAGGGGGAGCAAACATTCAGTCCATAACAACATAGCCAATCATTTCCTTTTCTCTGATACACTTACTTCACCTGCCTTTTAGGGCATGAGACTTCCATGGTTTTCTTCCTACTTCATCCCCATGAAGTGCTTTACTATTTTTTAGTCTCTGTGCTGATTTATCCTCTTACACCCTTATAATATTGTAGTACACGA